AAAGAGTTGTACTTTCGATACCCCCTTAAGCTCGATGGGACGTTCAGGTCAGATCGGCGGTTACAAGTGAAGTTCGAACGCTTTTATTGACTTCTAGCGCCTACCAGCCAACAAGTTCATTCATTAATCTTTTCCGTTAATGTTATAACACCAAGTGCGAGCGTACAAATGGAAGAAGCAAACGATTCGAAGGATATTACGTGGTTACAGATGTTGGATGTGTACGAATCAATCTTACGTGTACTTAGAAATAACTAAGTATTTCTTGTTACTATTAACTCAGGATTGAGAAATATTCCTTCTGGTTTTATATGACAGATTATCTTAGCCTGTTTTACCTTTCCTCAACAAAGGGAAATAAACGCGAGTTTGTGTGATCCTTGTGTGCGTCTCGTGACATAGATAAATATTCAGAGTGAAATGTAGAATATCATTTCATTTTTGCAACAGTTTGACGGTATAGTGTTTCTTACAGAAATTCACAGTTTGCGTTCAAAATGAATAATTGCTTTATCTAAATTCGCAATTAGAATAATTGGAATTACCAATTTGTCGCGAAATTTGAATAATTTTAAGTTTCTTTCACTATGAAATATTTTCATAATTACAACACTTTGTTGGCAATAGCAAACAGTGGACAGTTTAAATCAAATTCAGGTAGAAATTCTGACATCCCTATGTCAGATCTATTCGACAATATTTAGTTTAATAAAAGCACTAGAACTACCGATCAGGTCAAAATGACCCATTAGCATCTTCCGAGAAAACCTGAATGTTCAATACTGTAACTTTCCGAATTTCTTTTTTACAGGTATGCTTCTATTTGTATCGATATGAATCGAATTCTCCATTTATGGTTTATTTACGTAAAAATTCACTTTTGTAAAGTCGGTAACGTGTCATTCTGACTCAGATGGTAATTCTAGTGTTAAAATCGTGATAAATGATCGAATCGCGTTAAAACAGCGGTAGAAAATTTCTGTAACATCGTGTTATCAGAAAAACGTCGTTTCTCGACAATTCTCTGGAATTGCATTATGCACGTGAAAGAATACACGAAACCTTGGTATTACGTGCATCGAATATCTATTTTTACAAGTGACCAAAAAGAGTATGAAACAAAGATATTAAAAAAGGAGAATAACGAAAGACCATTTCAACACGATTTATGGTATGAAAGGTCAACGATTACGAAGTAATCGATGTTTTCTTCTTGGAGATCCTCCTCGTTCCTCGCAACTCACGATCACCCACACACCCGGCTCACTTTCGAAAAATTCCACTTAATTCAGTCGTTCTCAACTCTCCATTCTCTCCTTTGTTTCCTAATAATTCGTTTCTCCGTTTCCATAATCCTTTATCCTTTATGATCCTTTAATTGTAAATCGTTGATACCTATACCTAACGTAATGCATCCTGTTGAAGCGAAAGAAACACAGTATTCTAACTCTTTTGCTTAAAGCGACTGATTTAATCTTCACCGTTTATTTTCAGTTTCCAGGTGTGGTAGTAGTTCCGAATTTTATCCAAGGTGTTTTGTAGGTCTATTTGTATTTGTGAGAGTTCGAGGTGTTTAATGCATGTTAACAAGTCGTCCGCGAATGCTATGGCGAATTTGGTGTCTCCGTTACTTAGGTTCTATAGTTGTAACAGACAGTTGATAAACATGTTAAACAAGGTGGAGGAATTTACGGCGCCTTTTTGGAAGAAAGGGTAGATTTTAAGAATGTTCACTTCCTGAAAAGATTTGACTTGAAATTTTCCTCGATTCTATGTCAATACTGAGGAATTTTCCAGTGGGAATTGACTCCACACTTTGAAAATCAATTAGACAAATTTAGTGAGTGTTTTTTTTTTTCCTATAAGGTAGTTAAGAAGAATATAAAATAATTTTTTCAGAACTGATCAGAATGCAACTTGACATTTCTTACTACTAAAATTCGTTAAACTCGAGTTTCTTAACTTCACAATCTTGAAAAAGTGTGCAAACTTAAAAAGTCTCAACTTCCTGACAAGATTTCACTTGAAACTGTTCTCAATTTTTTAATTAAACGCTTGAAAAAAAGAATCAACGAAAGTAAAAATTAAATCAAATTTTAACTTCAAATTTCTTATCGCTAAAATTCGTTAAACTCGAGTTTCTTAACTTCACAGTCTTGAAAAAGTGTGCAAACTTAAAAAGTCTCAACTTCCTGACAAGATTTCACTTGAAATTGTTAATATTATTAAATAAAATTAAATTTAAACTTAATATTTCTTATCACTAAAATGAAAATCAACTACAAATCGTCAATTCTGCCAACCTGTCTTACCAACGACGATAAAATCCCCAGCACACAGCCTCAGAAATCGTTCTTACCGCATAAAAAATTTCACCGAGGATGATCGTCGAGAAATTCTTTTTTTAGAATCGCGTGCGTTTGTTTCACGCGGAAAGATGGTGTCGCAAGCGGCATACATACATTATGTACGTGTAACAGGTTCGCAACACGTTTGCCGGTCCGATGATCTTACTACGAGAACGGGACGAAAAGGAAATCGATGTTGTAAATAAAGTTCTCTGTGCGTAACCCGCGCGCGGTAGTTGAGATTGCCGGTAAAACGCGCGCCGATCGTAGCGGAGAAAAATTCTCGAGCTCGATCTTCGAGCAAATCTTCTCGCTGCTCTTGATCTTTCGCGGCCTTTCTCTCTCTCTCTCTCTTTCTCTCTCTCTAGCTCTATCTCTTTCTTCCTGTCTTCATTTAACGCTGAAATCTCTCTTGCTCCCGCAGAGAAAGTACACGCGATTCAACGGAGACATTCGAAAGATACCTGGAAGTATTTTTCGTACGAGAATCCTGTTTCTTCGAGTCTCTGTTATTGCAGGTACACGTTGTGTTATGTGGTGGCATGTGTGTATGGATGTCGATGGTTTTTTGATAATATGAATTATTAATATTGACTGATAGAGAGAATTTGATGTGGGAAATAGGGGAAAATGAAAATGTGTGAAATGGATGCAGGTTGTATGGAAATGTACACTACCGGCCAAATGTTTGGAATCACTGTGCATTGCAAGTTGCACCAGAATTCTCAAAAAAAAAAGTTAGCATTTGTAATAATTTTTCAACGAATTTTCTATCATTCAAATCAATCGAAATGATGTAAAGTGCTGTTGGTCTCCACAACATTAATTTCAAATCAATGAAGAATTAGTAGCAGATTCGATATTAATATAAATTGGCAGGTGATTCCAAATTTTTCGCCGGTAGTGTATATATTATGCTGTTTGTGAGTATTGGGAGAGTTACTGAATGTGAAATGTATTGAAAGATACCGAATTCTAGTGGATCTACTGAAATCTGCTGAATTTTGGCTGGAATTTTTTAGAATCTACCGAAATGTGCAGAATTTTATTAATCTACTGTATCTTAGCGATGTCTGTTGAAATCTTTCGAAACTTACGGAGATCTAGTGAATTCTACTGAAATCGATTGAAATTTACTGAACTCTGCTAAAATCTACCGAGATCTGACGAATTTTATTAAAATCACTTGCAGTGATGTCTATTGAAATCTTGTGAATCCTACGGAAAACTATTAAAATCTACTGAATTCTACTGAAATCTAGTGAATTCTACCGAGGTCTACTGAAATCTACTTAGATCTGAAGAATTCTATTAAAATCACCTGTACTAATATTTATTGAAATCTTCTGAATCCTACGGAAAGCTACTAAAATCTACTAAAATCTACCGAATTTTACTGAATTCTACTGAAATCTATTGAACTCTGCTGAAGTCGCCCAAAATCTACTGTAATCTACTTAAGGAATGTGAAGCAAGCCTCTTTATAATTACAAAATTAACACAAAGTTATTCGACTCACAAAAGTCATTGTAAAATTATTAAGATCCTAAAAAAAATTATTCATTCTATAATCCTAGATATAAAAATACGAGTAGGTACATACATATTTAAAATGTAATTTAAATCGTACAATACTTTCTACACGAACATAATAAGCGTCCTAATACTTACGAACGGTAGCCTATGTGTATAACTCTATAAGTAAACTTGACATACAAACATAATGGAAGAGGACTCGTGCAAACATGTTTCTCTCGACGAATATGAGAATGCTCTCACTCGGAAGTAAGGTCAGGTTTTTCGTTATTTTGAGATGGTGAACATATTTTCCTCGAGTTGGCATAAAATTTGCAATGTTTACAAAGGTTAACGACAGAGTTAGAAGGGAAATGTGAGATTAAATACAAATAGGAGTACGAAATTTAAAAATTTTACTGATAAACATGAAGCTTACTTTGCAAGGATAAGAAAGATTTTTGAAAAGAATAACAATTACCGACTGAAGGTACAAGGATATTTCGATACATCTGTGGAAAAATTTTGTTATTTTACCTGTTTGTTAAATTTTAGTATATTTTTTGTCACATTTTATTAATAAGTAGGAAGCTTATTTGGCAAGAATAAGAAAAATATTTTAGAGAACAAAAAGTATCTGCCCAATGCATAAGAATATTTTAGTACGTGTGTGGGAAAGTTTTGTTATTTCACCTGTTTACTTTTTAAAACGGTACAACAGGAATGCAGAAACGAGTCTATAATGTTATTACGTAAAGGTAAAACGTCGATTGTTACCGACGAAACCTGTGTAATATATTTATTCATAGCAGTAAGATAATCGATGGCAGCGTAGATATATTTTTAATATACTAAAATTCGTGAAAAAATTCTTAAGGTTAACAGTTTTCTGGAAATTTTTGTCAAACATCCAATGCATTCTATAATATTCTGAAACGTTTTTCGCAGTAATTGAAATTAACTTATTTATGAAAAAGTTCTGTAAAATTTGCCAATTTTCTTCTTTACGGCGAATTTGTGAAAAAAATTGTACGACCCTCCCCACAACCTTCAAATGGAACATCTTCTACATGTCTACTAAAATTCAGCGACAACGCAAAGTAAATCTCATTAATTGCATCTATTTGTTTGTTTCAGGTGTAGCTTGGGACTGCTGTCCACCGTATTTCTTGTGGCATTAGCAATTACAACACCTGTTCATCATTTCGATATTGCAGGTAAATAGGTGCATACCGATTTTTAAACCGTGTTTCAAAAATATGTATTTTACCTCAATGCGAAAAAACGAGCATGAATAAAACGTGGAAAATGCTTTTAGTAATACGTGAAACGATAAATAAAACATTGTTCCGAGAGAAGTGTGAGTAAAAAACGATTTTCTGTAGAAATATAATTTTTGTGGAATAAGAAAGAACGAAAAAGACTGCAAAAGGTAGAAAAGATATTTAATCGTAAAAGAAAATGAAAGGGTTTCGTGAAATGGGGGAAACATTAGCCTTAAAAAATTACCAAATACCGTTAGAAATGTTTAATAATTTCTTTTTAGGCAGTAATTTCTGTCTTTCTGGATGTTATTCACAAATTGTTTAATTATTGAAATTTTCCCAAAAAAACATTTCTCGAACTTCGAGAAATCCAAAGAATCTTTCGAAATTGAACGTAGACTTTACTACCGAAATCCAGTTCTAAAATATGCGCGTCGAAGATTCGTGGACCATTTTCTTCTTTTCTCTTTCAACGGCCAAATAAGTGTTGCTCAATGGAAAAGACGCGTGACTGTTGCTGTTACAAATTTGAGAGGAGCTGGTGGGAAACAATAGTGAGATTCCTCTCACGCCGCTACAAAAATCGGTTGTTGTTGATCGCGGTGATGGTAGAGATGGGTTACGTCATAAAATTGACTCGGAGAGAATATCTCGTTAGTATTAAGGAGCTCGTTAGCGTAATCATCCTTTATTCACTGTGCGTCGCCAAATAGTTCCTTGGTACTTCGTTAAAATCACTTCTAATATCGTCAGCTTCTGAACCATTATGCAGATACATCGTAATTACCCGATTAATAGTGACTTTTATCTTCATTGCAGCCGTGTAATCACTCATCGTGTTAACGCAAAGCTTCTCGTAAAGTAGCGTACAACTTCCTTCGCCGATACTTTTACGCGATCGAATTTTAAGATCGAGGAAAATCGATTTAACCTCTTCAGGGATAATTCTTCTCCCTTCGACAGCGATTAAACTACTTTCCTTAACCCTAGAGCGATTTTCGTTTTGACTGTACACTTAAGACTTTTGGGTGAAAAAGGACCTAAGACCTTACGTGTAATAATTTTTATTTCCAACGCGGCATATGAACCTAGACAATAAACGTTTAAAATAGTGTCAAGGAACGTACACTTGGTAACAGGAAAAATGACTAAAAATATAAAAAGGCGGTGGGTCAAGAAAGACCCGAAGACCGTTCTAGGGTTAAGAGATTTTGGGAGATTGTGTTTTTCATATCTTCCCTATGGCAGATATTGGAATTTTCGGAAAATTTGAAGGTACACATATGTATCGGTGTCCCTGAAGAGGTTATGGTTTATTAACGAAAAGTGTTTAACCCTTTCGCTGTTTAGTCCGTACGACGTACGGGCAGAGCGGAGAGCGACCGTCTTATCGCTTAATTCGTTTCGTTGGAAACGAAACAAAAAAGAAATCCAAAAACAATAAGAAAAAAAAAAGAAAACGAAGGAAAACGAATAAGGAAAGATACACGGTATTATTGTGAAGAATGCACGCATACCGTGCTTAAAAATTTACCATGCTCGGACTAATTATTAGAATATCTTTAGAAACAACAGTGAAACACAGGTAAAATATGCTTTTTTTCGCATTTTTATCATAAACAGAAGCAATACTAATTATAAAAAAAAGTCCAACATTTTTTGACCGCTTTTTGTTATTTTAGTGAACAGCGAAAGGGTTAATAATCGACGTGAACTCGGCTTGATAATTTTACTCATTTGTGTTTCGTTAATTTTATCACGTAGATTTAATTGGATTTTTCATATTTAGTTACTCTAATTTGCATACAAACGCATTTACATAAATGAAACGTTACAAATACTAATATTATGTATTTTTCTCCTTTCAAAATGATTCACTATTTACCAAGCTACTTAATATTTCCTATATTTGAAGTAAAAACACGTTTTCTAATTTTTTTTTTTAATAATGTCATCCTTGGAATTTCATCTGCATTGGAATAATTACGACTTGACGGTATAAATAAATTGGACATTATGAAGCAAGTATCGCGTTTTCGTTGATTTCTTTGTATATTTGCAATGAGTTTATTCTTCGTTCGCAGATTATGTCTACGGGGTGGACGATGATTTACAAGCGAGAGCACGTGCAGGAATCGAGGCCGAAAGGTTTACTTACCAAACAAAGACTAGGTAAGTTTCTTTATTTAGTATTCGATGTTTCATGGAAACATTGTGCAAACCTATTTTCGATTCTTATCGTATCGACCTTTCGTTAATTGTTTTATCATTTCACAAGGTATCTGAAATTTCTGAAAAATAAAGCTAGTTTTCTTCTTCATTTTTTCCATAATTTCTCGCCAATGATAATTATTTCCAATTCTCTCGCTAAATGACGTTTTCAATTTTTACCTTTCAACGACTAACAAAATTTCTACAAAACTGAAATTGATATTTACGAGAATATTCAATTATTATTGTTAACGCAATAAAATTTGCTTTACGTTTATTTTTTTTATTTGCTTTACTTAAATTTTTGTACGTTTAAATGCTTAACAAATTTGATTAAACTTAAAATTTGAAACGTTACTTCTCAAAAATTTCTTAAGAATATGATTAGAAGCACTTTTAATCATCATCGATCAGAAACATTAGCTGAATTGTAAATAGTGACGATAAGTATCGGTTCTTATCTTTCATTTTGTCGACTTTTGTCTTTCATTGTGCAATTCGAGACGCATTGCTTTTCATTCAAGACAACAAGGTAGTTTCGCTAGGTTCGATGAAATCGACCAATTTGCGGCTGGTTTCAATGAATTTTCTATGCTACAAATATCGAAGGTCGATTGCTACATCGAATTTATAATGAACTTGGTCACAATTGAGTTAATACAACTTCTATAACTGTAATTTATTCACCTTACTACGCATCGTAAACCATCGAATATTCTGTTCAATTTTCACTGAAAGCACAATTTATACAACATTTCTGATATGTTTGTATTTTTTTCTTTAACGAGTACAGTATTTACAATCTGTTCAAAACGAACAATAATTTGCAATTACACGCAGAGAACGTTCCATTGAAAGTTCTTCTTCTTTTTAATTAACTATATTAACTTGTTTGAAATTTGTACAAAATGAAAAAATTCGAAAAACGAAGTTACAACAAAACTCACAGTAACACAACCAAAGAGATTCTGTATTATTATAAAACATATTTCACTGTTTCCAATTTGTTCCAACGTGTATTAAAGATCTTTTCACCAAGAACAATTCAATTTAAACGTTTCTAAAAAATTAAACAATTGACATGCTTATCGAAAAAAATCGTAGATTAAATCTTCTAGCAGAAGAGGATTCCCAATACCTCCTCCATTTTGTAACACTCTTACTTCGTAAAAATTGGAAAAAAAAGCTAAAAGTTACATTCACATCCTCCGAAAAAATTGAAGCTTTTCATTCAGTAGTTACCTAAGAAAAAAATTTCCAAATTTCTACCAATTTTTGGAAGCCTCGTGGTGGTGAATCCCCTTAATACACCTGTACAGGTGTACTTAAAGTACACGTGAAAATAGGGAGCTCTAATTTCCAAATACACAGCCGAAACAAACGACCAGTTCATTAACCTAAATACCTCAACTGTCTACCCCTAATCGAGCGATCAAATATCGTAAACACTTGAGTCTGTCGTACGGACAAAAGGTTTCACGGCAAACCCCGCTATTCTTCGTTAAACCGTCGCTACGCTAACACGTCATTAACCGCACAATGTCCCTTGCATCCCTTTCATCTCCGACAGCCGCTTTATTTTCCCGCGCGGTTGCGCAACACCGTTTTCCATGGAAGTTAAGGCGTCCGTAGAGAAAGCCGCAAACCGGTCACCGAATTAAAACGGCAGATTAAAAGCGCATCACGGCAAAGAAAGAACCGTATCATTGCAGCACACATCTAGGAATCGCGAGCGTAATTACGGCTGAACTGCATGATACACCTTTCGCCAAATCTGTGCAGAGGAATTCCCCAATGCGGAAAGTGAATCAGAATTACAGGAAAACACGAGATATCGTTACGCAAAGTCGACTTCGTAGTTATTAGAAATGTCGAATTTCACGTGGTCATTTGAAAGATATTCGATTTTTCCACTTTTATCTCATCTACGTTTTTATCGTATCTTTAACGCTGTGATTGTTAACGTTGAGCTTGTCCGCTGTTCGTTCTACCGCCAACGCGACGATAATACGAAAATAATGAGAAATCTCTGATAACGTGGATTCACAGCGATCGAAAGTGTTTAATTCCGAGTATACAGGGTGAGAAGTAAATAGGCGGCCAAACTTTGGTACCGTATTGTAGTCTTCCTAAGGGTGGAGAAAAGTGAGGTTAGGTTGCGTCCCGAAATTCTTCTTTTCAAAGATATAAATACATTTTTTACATCGAAATTTCACGAAAATTGCACTGGTGACGTCGAAATAGGTAGCCAAACTTTGGTACCGTATTCTACTCTTCCTAAGGGTGGAGAAAAGTTAGGTTAGGTTGGGTCCCGAAATTCTTCTCTTCTGAGATATAACACTTCTTTTTTACATCGAAATTTCACACGAATTGCACGCTCTCCTGATTTATCCCTTTTGAATTTTTATTTATGGGGAGATCTGAAAAGTTCAGTTTGTGATAATAAAATTACCGATAGCCTAGAAACACTGACAAACTCAGTTATTGCCACATGTGACAAAATTCGGAATACACCAGGAATTTTTTAACGTCTTCGACAGTCTATGAAACGTGGATGCGAAGCATGTGTAGTTGCAGAAAGAAATAATTTTCAGTAATTTCTTTAAGTAAGTTTTAAGAATTCCTACAATACACTATCGTAAATAAAAAGTGTTATGTACCTCGGAAAGGAAGAATTTCCGAACCTGTATTAACCGTTTCGTGATCGAATTATGTTTTTTAAGAATTTATTATTTATTTAACGATCGTTGCGTCTGTAATGGATACTAAATTGAGATTAATTTGTGTTTGAATACTCAAGTGAGATATATGCGTCTCACTGATCAAGAAAGGGTTAATTGACCATTTGTCATCCTTAGGAAGAGTGGAATGCAGTAGCAAAGTTCATTCACCTATTTCGGTGTCACCCTGTATATTCGAGTCTTTAGTTTGATTTACCGGTAATGCTCAATTTTTTGACAGTTTAATGCTACAAAGATTAATGCATTTTATGCAATTACCGTTGTGTGTTATAGTTTATGTAAGATGTGTTTTATTGTGGCGTGTAATTTGCTACGATTTAGTGTAATTTGTTAGTTTTTGTGGACTCGCGGGGCTTCGGTAGTTGAGGTTAAATCTTAATGTTTAGTACTTCCTGAATCGTTCACACATAAATAAAATACAAATTACCAGAAGATTGAGTAAAAATGTCTGGACATGGATCACATTTTTTGTGAATTATGATTGTCAATTATTAAGATAATAGCATAATTTTTTTTATTATAATTATAGATGAACCTGTTACTTCTTTAATGTTAGATG